TTGAGCCCCCCACCAGACTCTGTGCTGACAGCTCAGAGCCCGGAGCCTGCTTTGGATTCTGTGTCCTCTCTGCTCCTCCCCCATTCATGCCTCTGTCTCTTTCTCTCAAAAGTAAATAAACATTTAAAAAATTAAAAAATAAAAGAATACAGTATGCTTAAATATCTGTCAGTGATCATCTGATCATTTTATTGCAAAAATTTTAGATAATTAAAATGTATGTTTTAATTCAATATCTTCATAAGCTGTGACATTAAAATTTTCTTCTGAATTGAGTAATAATTATACTTATTGGTACACAATTAATCAAAAAATATAAATATATCAATTTTGATCAATTATTTTTATAAAGGTACTGTTTAAAATACAAATTCTTACTTCATTGAATGGATTATTTGTAGTCCAGCTGTGTCATGCATGGGCATTTTCGGATTCTTCAGTGCTGGTGTACTTTGCTTCTTAAGTATTGATACCTGATAACATAGCCTCCCACTTTGTTTTTCTTATTAAATGTTGATTTGGCTAATCTTTTTTCTTATCATTTCCAAATAAGTTCTAGCAAAAATCTTACTGTCTCAAATTTCTAGTTTATTTTGGGAAGAATCAACCTCTTTATAAATTTAAGTCTTCCTAGCTATTGAGCATGTTTTGACTTCTTATTTATATCTTCTTGAATGGCAAATAATAATTGGATACATTTTTTCCAATACAAGCTTTATTAATATTTTGTTAGATTTATTTCTAGTTACCTTTCACTTTTTTGCCATTATAATAAATGATGTTTTGTTTTTGTTTTTAAGACTTCATTTCTTTAGAGCAGTTTTAGATTCACTGCAAAATTGAGGGGGTAGGTTCAGAGATTTCCCACATGCCTTCTGCCTCAATTCATGCATAGCCTCTACCATTATCACCATCCCCACCCGAGTGGTACATTCGTTATAATTGGTGAACCTACATAGACACATCATAATCTCCTAAAGTTTATAGTTTACATTATGGTTCACTCTGGGACCTGGATAGTCTGTGTGAGTTTGGACAAATGTATAATGGCATGTATCCATCATTATGGTATCATACAGAGTGTTTTTACTGCTCTGATTTTTACCAATGTGCTCTGCCTATTCATCTCTCCACAGCCCCTCCCCTCACCCTTTGCCATCACTGATCCTCTTACTGTCTTTATAGTTTTGCTCTTTATATAATGTCATATAGTTGGAATCATACAGTATGCAGCCTTTTAAGATTGGCTTCTTTCACTTAGTAATATGCATCTATGGTTCCTTCATATATTTTCATGTCTTTTTATTGCT